AAATTTTACGTAAGTTTACGATTTTCTTACGCACCGTAAAAACTTACGAAAGTTTACGCATATATATTTTTGCTGATAGTGCAAACCCAATAACATTATTCATTGCCATATTTTTATTTTCTGCTGAGATAGTTTCAATAGTATTTTCAAATCGTTCAGTACTAAATATACCATGTTTCATATAATATTCAGTTAGTTTCAGTGCGACATGCTTTGGTTTTACACCAAACAACATTTCATAATAATAGTTAATCCAACTCATTATTCATTCAAGAGAAAAAAATTTAATATCAGACAAGGCTTGAATACAATATTGTGGGTGAAATATAATTGCCAATAAAAGGAGAGGTTGTTCCCATTCCGCCCATCTTTTTTCAAGTTTTTGTTGCATTTTATAACCAAATCCATTAACATTATTTTCATACTGTTGTGCTACATATCCAAATGCATATGCAACATCAAAAAGATTAGCTGCATCATGCTGAAAATAGTTTAGAATGCTAACAAAAAGCAGAAGGTGTTTTATTAATTCATCAAGGTATGTTCAAAATTGAGGGCTATCAATAGAAGATCGAGATTTATCTGATAATTCAAAAGTATTTGGATACAGGATTGAATAAGACTGTAAAGCACGTTTGCTTCTTAAAAGCATTGCAAAGCAATAATAATAAGAATTCTAGTGGGTGGTTACTGAACGCATAAAGCTATATATGGTTTTGTAAACTCTCTACTGCTCATCACGAAGTAATGATATTGCCTTTGAATGCCGTTTATCAGTAAAATATGATGTGATTCCAATAGCATTCTTCATTGCTTGACTATATTCAGTTAAAATTTTAAAGATATCACCAACACACAGGTTGGCCTGGTGTGCAAAGCATGGGAGAAAGACAATGTCACATTTTTGTAATTGTATTTTGCACATGATAAATAAATGGTTATATTACTTTATAATACAATATTAACTTTTTTTTTATTTTACAATATATACATACCGCGCAGAGGCATATGCTGATGCACTATCCGTAACCATGGCTACTACGTTAAGATTCTAATCATTGACACGCTCAAAAAAAGTATGAATTGTATTTAATACATCAGAAGTTTTTTGGCTACAATTGCTAATATCTTCGGCACCCCATATATATAGCTGATTTGATGCAGAGAGAATAATAGCACCCAGAATTTCTTGACAATGCACATTCTTCCAACCGTCAAACATAATTGTAACTGGTTCTTGTGATTCAGAGAGAATAGAAACTTTGGCTTTTTCTAACTTTTCTGTATACAAGAATTTTAGTGCTTAGTGTTCTGCAGCTTGGAATTTTAACAGTTGGGTTAAAGAAATCAACAAATTGACGAAGCATAGTACATTCAATAAATCAAAATGAGAGCCCATTTGAACTACTAAACGTAGGAGACAACGATTAAATTCATACTTTTGGCTAGTTGATAAGGGGCGAGTAACATATGCATCAAGTGAATAATTTATTTTTTTTTTCTTAGAATATGTAATTTCACTTGCACGTGATGAGATTGAGGAAGCTTCTGACATTCGTGTATTATTATTTGAAACTCTAGAATCTGATGAAATAATAGACATGGCTGTATTATTTTGTTCTCTTGCTTGTCTTAATGATCTAACAGCAGTACACGCCATACTTTCATCATGGTGTTCATACATCATTAATTCTTGATCTTCATCGATCCAATACTCACGCCAATATGGGCAGTGCTTCCAGTGTCATTGTACATGATCCCACCTATTAAAAAATCCTCATTTTTCATATACTTCCCACAGTTCAAGGCTTTCATTTTTTCCCTTCTCAAAGATATGTTCATGGCTTTCACAAGCTTTGCATATAGCACGTTTAGCCGTTTGATTTGGACCTAATTTATCCTGAACGTGAACATATTTTGTTAATCTATGAGAATAAGTTTGAGACATTTGATTATTTTAATCTTAATGTTATTTTTTTAAAAAAAAATGCTTTAGAGATAATTTAATACTAATACTTATTTTTATTTTTTATATAGCTTTTATATCTAATTTTACTAATATAATCG